CTCCGGTCCCCGTGTCTCGCCTGCAGGGGTGTGACAGGCAGTTTTTCAACGCTACGATACAGTTTAACAACATGGACGTCTTGCTGAACTACATCAACAGGCAGGCGTCCAAGCTGGGCGTCAGGGTGGAGTACGCCACGCTGAGCACCTACTTCCGCGCGGTGCGTGCTACCCAAACCGCCTGGAGCGTCCGCGGCCACCAGGACTTCCTGCCCTACTCCTCAGGTACCGGCTTCTGCGGGGGGGGTGCCCACCTCAGTGTCTGCTTCGCCCGATTCTTCCAGTCTGGAAGACGGGCCCCGTCCCACCTGGACAGACTGGCTGCCACGCACACAGCCTGGTGCCCAGCACTGCGCCCACACGAGGTCCCTGCCTCAGTGCCTTTGCACGTGCAGTCTTCCCGACCAGAAGTGCCCTCTTCGCACCTTCTCTTCCTGCCTAAGTTCTACTTATCTCGTAATGTCACCTCCTCCGGGGAGCCTTTCCTGACGTGAAGGCTCCACAGGCCTCGGCTGTCTTTCTGTTACTACCCTGTCTGCTTCCTGCCTGTGTCCGAGGCCGGGACTGTGCTTGCTACAGCCAGCACCACCTCAGGGTTGAGGGATGGCTTTGACTGAGCCTGCTTCGCGGCTGCGTGCGTGTCACGGGATGGTCACGCTCAGCGAAACGGGGACCTCAGTGGTGCTTAGTCTAGAGTTGTAAAAATGGAGTGAAATGAGGAAAACTCACAGCCTGGTGCCCCGCACAGAGCAAGGGCTCTGCAGATGTGGCCGTGAATCATTATGACGTCACTCCCGGTCCCCTGTGCCAGGTTCTGCCCTGGATATGAGCCTGCAGCCCCTGCCCCGGAGGCTAATTCAGGGCCTGCAGCGCATACCCCTCCCCGGCCGCCTTGCCCGCCCCCCATGCTGACCCCCCTGCTGCCAAGCCATGCAGACCTCAGCTTCCCCTGCAGCCCCGCAGGAAGTAGACCCGCAGCAGGCGCTGAGAGCTGGGGCAGGCACAGCCCCCCGCTCCTGCCCGGCTGTAACGGGAATGGTGTGGGCCAAGCCTTGACCCATCTAATACTTTTTGCATAAAACACCAGAGCCCTGGAAGGGTTCTTGTTGTCCTTGACACAGAAGGAGAAGCCACAGGGATGTGGGGATGGGGGTGAGAAGGGGCCAGGTCACCCTGAGTCATGACAGCTCAGGGACCTGGCTGCAGCTGGCTCTGCCTGGCACTGGCTTGCGTGCACGGGCTCAGTCACTTGGGGAGGCTGCTTTGGAAGGGAGAGAGATACATGGCTACCCCCATGGGACAGGCAGAGGCACTGAGGCTCAGAGGGCACCCACTGGCTGAGCAGTGACCAGGGTGCCTGGGGCTAGGCCTGTCTGGGGCGTGTCCCTGCCCCCTCACCCACCAGCAGCCACAGTGCTGAGCAGGGCTGGCGCCAGCGGGGTTCCGAGGCACCCTGGGTTTGGACCACATCTCCTCCCCTCATGGGCTATCTAGCTTCGGGGCAAGTGATGCCACCTTTTTGAGTCCCAGTGTCCTGAAGTGGGGGGGTAGCCACGTGAAGGCTCCACAGTAGCCGCGCCCCCCCCTCCCCCATTGCCTTCCCCTCCAGAGAGACTGCAGGACGGGCTCCAGCTGCAGGGCTGGCTCCGGGCTGGGCGCTCCCTGACTCACCCATGACTTGCTTGCCCTGGGCATCGAGGTCTCTTGTCTGGTTGCAGGATGGAGCTGCATAGCTCTCAGGACATTTCCTTTTGGACCACATTGGGTTGGATACGGGTCTAGGTGGGAGGAGCGACATCCCAGTGCTGTGCCAGGAGGGTTTATACTGTGTCATCCTGGCTGCCTCCAGGTGGGAGGGGATATAGTGATGCCCTGTGGGTGTGCCAAGGCGAGCTTGGTTCATGCGGAGACTGGACGGGTGAGGCGAGGCGGGTGCTGCTCCGAGCGCACCGGGCACTGGGCACTGGGCACTGGGAGGGCTCTAGGCCCACTGGTGCTGGGCTTGGAGCTTAGGCCCTGGAGGACTGGGTCTGTCTGACCCCCTCAGCCATGGCCTGTCCTCCCGGGGCACGTGGCTACCTGTCCTGACCTGGCCGGAGCCCTGGGGGAAGGACAGGGAATGGAGGCCCAGGCCAGCCCCAGGAGGAGGGAGGAGGTGGGAACAGCAAGGACAGCGGAGGNGCAAGGACAGTGGAGCGCCTCCTGAGACAGAGCCAGGCCCTGGAGGCTCTCAGCCCTCCCCCTGCCCCGCCTTGGTCAGGCCTCCTCCTCGGGCCTGGTCAGGACAGCGGCTACTGAGGTCTCTCAGCTCCTCAGCTCCTTTTGCCCTCCCCTCAGCCACCCTCCCTGGGCTGCCAGGGACCCGCTGAATACAGGCCTGTCCCCATTGTCCCCAGAGTCACATCCAGAGGCTGGTGCTGTGACCCTCTCAGCTGGGTCCTGCCCACTCCTCTCCCCTCCTTCTCTGCTCCCCGAGGCCTCCCAGGCCCTCGGCTCCAAGGCTGAGCCAGGTTTTCCTGAGCCTCTCTGAGCTTTCTCCCCCCATCAGGACCCTCAGCACCCCCCACCCCAGGCATCATC